GACTCTTGACGGGAGTAGGGAGCCTCCTCTTTCTCTTGCAGGGCCTCTGGTGGTTTCCAATGGCTGACCCTACGTTACCGGGACTTGCGGTAGGTAAAGTCGAAGGTCAGTGAAGAAGAGGAAGATCCTCGAGGAGATGAATTGACAGTGACTGCAACAGTGGGTTCAGACATGGCGACGGTTCTGAGGATGGCTCAGGACCCGGAAGTGTTTCACTCTGTGGTGCTTGGGGTCACTATGAGTCTCAATTGGCTGGACGGTGCCTGACAACATCTCCCATCAGCGGTCACCGTGAGTTGGGATTGATTCGATGGTAACTAACAACGGCATGGGAAAAAAGTATCCCCAAGCACTTCTGGGTAGGAGCAGAGCCTGAGAAGACCCAGAAGGGGGAAAGCAGGGGCAGGGAAAGAAGACTTGGAAGATTTCCCCCCCACCTCCATCCCCACCTCCCCAGGCTGTCCCAAACCCCAAGTCATTAAAACCAGAAAGGCTGAAACACTTAGAAGGAAGACCAGACAGAAACAGCCTTGGAACAAGATGCTTCTTTAGGGGCACCTCATCGAAGACAAAACAAAACCCACTGAGAAGCTCCCTCCTGACCCTGGAGGATTTCCAGAGGCAGAATGAGAACTGGATGGGAATTCACAGGCAGGAACCACCACAACCATCCGAGGAATGTGCCTACAGCCATGGACCTAGCCTTTATTTAGCCTGTTGCCTTTCTTGTTTTATATCTAGGGATGTAAAATCTTTACAAGGGCTTTCAGGAGCCGGTCCCAACTGCAACCCAAGCCTAGTACTCCCAGGAATTCCTCCACTGCCAATTCCCCTCCGTGGGTGTCTGTGGGGAGAAGTCAGATCCTTGCTGCCAGACTGCTGTCTCATCCCACAGCAGGGCTGGGCCTGCTCCCTGCTGCCGGAGACAATAGACTACCTCTCTCTGGAGCCAAAGGCCATTAGTTTGATTCCTGTGGGCGGAGTTCACACCTAACTGATAATGGTTCCTATAGAGACCCAAAATCAAGTCAAGCTGTTACCAGAAATCTAGGAGCTGCCTATCTTGCCGCATGTACACCCCCAATCCCTTCTCCTTCTGTAGTGCATATGTCCCTAGATCACCTCCTCCCATCACTGTAATACCTGTAGCACAACCCTTTCCTGTGACGTATGTCTTCACCTGTAATGTGGGGGCTTGCACGTCCCCAATGTCCGGAGAGAGTATAAAAGCTTGGGGAGCATTAAATCTCTCTCTCACTCCCTCCATGTGGACCATCAAGCGGGGCTGAGGTGAGCATGCTATCATAATATGTGTCTGACTTCATTTATTTCTATATATCTCTTTTATCTCTCATGCTCTCTATAACTTTACTATAATATTTACTTATTATCGCTGTACAATTGCGCCTACCAAACCCGGAGTGATTGTGCTAGGAGCTGGCTTCTTCTGGCAGGTGTCAGGACTCTGTTCCCAGAGAAGAAGGGGCCACTTAACCCCTTAAGGAGAGGACGGGCACATCCCAATCAAGGTGGGCAAGCGCTGGCTGCACGGATTTGCAGAAGCTCTGGGGCTGCCAGCGAGGTGTTGGCAACTCTTAGTAGCCCAGAGAAGCAGGTAGATGTGGATGTGGTTGATCAGGTAAAAGGTGAGGGGTCAAGGCCTTGGGAGTTGACATCTCTGGGGCAAATGACGACCCACGAAGCATGGACCTGCAGCTCCGCTTGAGCCGATTCCTGTCCCGATGGGGAGTACGCCAAGGACAATAGTGAGCACTTGTCCACAGCCTGCTGCGAGAAACCTGCTGGACTTCGTTCATCCCGCCTGAGAAAAGAATCATCCAGAATGTGGAACTCCTTCACTTTCTAATGCCACGTCAGAGCACCATCTGATGATCTGACACCCTAGGAGAAGGTTACCTGGTCTGAACCACCGTGTCATCAGGTCCCAGGTTCTGCAAAGTGGGATGGTAATCTATGCAAAACTGGTAGGAGGCAAAGGATTTCTCTTCAGTAGAAGGGATAAGCCCAAAGGTTATTGTTTTGTAGGATCTACAGTGATTTCATATCTACCAATGTCTACCTATAAATCAGTCAATTAATCAGTCATGAGGGCAAGGATTAACCTTCCCCATAGAGAGGCCTGGCCTTTGATCTCAGTTCATGAGAGCTAATCTCACAACCTTCGGCATGCCCTGCCTGATAAGAATATCTGTTTGCCTTGGCGATTGGGGCCACACCTGGTAGACTCTACAAGCGAGCTAATTTATGGTAGATGTTTTTGGCCACTTGTTTCCAGCTCCATCTGTGAGGGTGGAGAGTGGAGACAGATGGAGATTAGTCCCACAAACAGCCACCCACATCCCCATGACCAAAACCTTGGCCTGAGTGGGCTTCCCTAGTTGGCAATACTCCATGCATGCTGTCCTGGGCTCTGTGCATGACTCCCTCTGCCAGATCAGTGCTTGCAACTCTCCTGACCTCTACGCCAATGCGTCTCTTCCTGTGATTGATTTTGGCCTCTCCAGGTAAGAAGCTATGGGTCTAGCAGCAATCAGTAAGTCCTGGGACTCCTCCTAGCCAAGTATCAACTGTGCAATTGCAATCCTAAGGACTATCAACTTGTGTCCATGTGTGGGTGCCGTGGGTTGGTCCGTTTCTTACACGCTCTTTTTAGTCCGTGTGTCACTCTGCTGGCTCCCACAGGAAACGAGGGAAATGAAGCACATGCTTTGCACATGCTTAGTGTCTACTTAGAAGAGACTCGTGAGTCCTTTCATGTTTCAAGCCTCCACTTCATGTAATCACTCATCGTATTCAACAGAGAAAACAGAAAGAGGCATGGGAACCCTACACTCGGGCCCTACAGTGGGGTACGGGAAAGGGAAGAAGGGGTCCTCTTTGGGAAGGGGAGGCCTCATTTTCCTTTGGAAAGCCAGAGCAGACAGGGGCTGTGGGAGGAGGCAGACAGGTGGGCTGCAGTGCTGAGAAGGCAGAGGGCTGGGAATGCTCACCATGCCAAAAAAGGCTTCTAGGGACGAGACTGAGCAAGGTGGCAGCCGGGGCACATCACTGGTGGGCCCCAATGTCACTTCTTTTATTCTGGACCACTGACAAGGGTGGGTTCCGTTAGTCACTTACGGGGAAAGCAATCGCTTCCTTGGCAGAAGCTGGACGTCTGGTTTTGCTCTGTGTTGTAGAGGGACCCGATGCCACCCCCCGTGGTCATGGTGCCGATAGAAAGAGCAGGGCCAAATCCTTTGCCTTTGAGAGTCTCTGACCTCAGCGAAGGGTTTGGTGTGAGGCAAGGGTCACTACACAGGGAAGTCCACCAGGTCCTGCCAACCATGCTTCTGCCCGGGGGAGACTGACCTCCTTTCTCACCCCCACCCCACCTCACCCCACCCCCTCTGCTCCTTTCCAAACAAGGGTCCAGGTTGGTCCTGGGTCCTCAACAAGCAGAGCCCAGCCCCCAAGGCTGCTCTCTGTAAAACGGAAAAGGCTGTGTTGCTGCGTGGATCCTTTCATAGCCCAGGTCCCAGCTCTGCCGTGGGCTCTCAAGCCCACAAAGCACCCCCGTTGCTCCTACCGTCCCGTGTGCTGTTGTCCTCTTTGTGTTTATTGGCCAAAGAAAGTCTCACAAGCTCGACATCAAAGCACACACACGAGGGGGCTTCAGAGCAGCCACAGAACCATCGAATGGGAAGATCATGGAATCTGTCCGCAAAACCTTTTGAAAACTCCTTGGATATCGGCTATGACATACAACCATAGATGATAGTGGCCTAGAAAGATGTCACTTAATTCAAATGTTAAGGATATGGATTAGGAGAAAGACTTGGCCATCTCTCGCTGGAAAAATGACAGCCCAGAAAACCCTGCCCCGTCATGTGGGGACATCGTGAATTGAGAGTGAGCTCAGTGGTATCCGACCACAGCAGGGACGGCATGAGATTTGAATGTATGTATTGGTTATAAGCACTGGAAAAGCCCCCCATAAAATGATCTGTAAATAAATAAATAAAATCGAATCCATTAAGTTAGGTAAGAAAAAAGATGAGAGAATACTTTTTATTCCCCTGGGAAGATCGAGGTTGTAGAGTTAGGATTTGTGAATTCCACATTGAAGTCTTGAGACAGACGGGCGTGGTGGGGACTTGCTCACGCGCCGGCATGGAGTGGATGTCCACCCAGAGTCCTTCAAGGCCAAGATAGAGCCGCCCTGAGGGGGTTGCCAAGACCATAGATTTTCACAGGAGTACAAAGCCACATCTTTCTTCTGCAGAGCACCCGGTGGCTTTGAACTGCTGACCTTGGGATTAGCAGGTAGCTGGAAACCTCTATCCAAGGCTACCTCTGATGAAAGGACCAGAGACATTCACTCTGTTGGCATCACCAACCTTCACCGGACTGCTGCTGTCTGGCTCTGGAGTCTGGCCACATGCCCACCCTCCAATCCTTCCATCCCCGCTCTGGACACCGGGAGGGCAGAGGGCAGGGGACAACTGAGTGCTGTCCCCTCTGCTGCTCCCCCAGTCTCCTGGCCATTAACCTCTTTCAAAAGACCCTCTGGCTTCAAGGCTGGTGGGCCATCCCCTTGTGTTTCCTTCTGCCTGACCACCCCACTTCCTGAATGAGTCTGAGCCAGAAGAGGAAGAGACAGGCTAGACATCAGAGGCCCTTTCTGGCGGGGGTTCAGGATGCTCCCCTTTGCCCCATCCAACTGTGGCAGAGAGGGATGAGGGTGTGTGGCTCAGAAGCAGGGTCCAGGTGTCCCAGCCTCATGCCGGGGTATCCAGACCAGAGCAGTTAGCTGGGAGTTGTCCGGGAAGAGGAAAGACACACACCCCCACACACCCCCGCGCCCCCAAAGTCACTTGGGCACAGTGGAAGACAGGAGACGAGCCCACAGGAGGGGTGAGGGAGGAAGGGCGGCAGACCTCACAGAGACACCACAGGCCAGGTGCAGCCTCTCAGCTCCCCTGCGCGCACCGCGGACTTACCCTCGTCACAGTTGCTCCCAGTGAAGCCCGGGCAGCACTTCCACTCCAGGGCAGTCACCGTGCGGTAGGACACTCTGTACGTGGGTCTGATCAGAGTCCTGTAACTAACACAAGGACAGTGTCAGGGGCCTGTAGGCTGGTGCTCGCTCACCCGCAGACCTGGCCCCATATGCTGGGGCAGCTTGCCCGGGCTGTGGGACTCAAATAACAACCGGTTCTCTGCCCCAGTGACCATTATAAGCATAAATGTTTACATATACCGAAAGGCACTTTATTATTTCATATAGTTAGTATTGAAATGAGAACAAGTCAAGAGGTACCTAGAACGGGATTATATGCGTCTTAAAATACTAATGAAAAAAATAGCAAATCATACCTGACCAGAAACAATGATACTGCTATTTAAAATATTTCCATATTGCTTCTTGATTGGTGGCCTCAGGCCTAGTTCTGGCTCATTTTTTATACCTATGGATGGCAGGAACGTTTAGGACACGCTGCTGCACGGATGAATGTTAAAAAGGAGGAAGGAATGTAAATCTGTGATTTCCACATTGGGCGGCTGCCCACCTCAGAGAGAACGAACCCTGATTACAAGGGGCATTTTTCACAACCAGTTCGCCAAACTCAACAGAAAATTAGGTATGGGGTCTGCCGAACCGGCTTGAACTGGCTGAATCCCACCACTGCTGTGTGGCCCTGGACATACTCTGTGTTAGGAACATTCCACAGTCCCTGTAAGTGTTTCTGTCTCGATGACTCTCTAAGTAGGGCCCCCTTTGCCCCCACCTTGCACGCTGCTGCTGTAAGTTGCCCCCCGGTCAATTCCAACCCTTGTTGACTGCACATGTGTTGTGTAGAACTTTGCCATGGGCCGTTCAAGGCTGTAAGTGACTGTTCAGAGGCACTGAGCAGGTTTGAATCATCGGCACTTAGTCGAACACTTACCCATGTGTGTCACTAGGCGCCGAGATCATCAATAGGAAAACCTACAAATATCATTGGAAACTACCCAACTTCTACCCATTCTCAACCTTCCCCTCTGTGTTAGGCAGGGTTGACTAGAGAAACTAGTCCAGTGACACCCATCTATATGTAAGAAAGGGCTTTAGATCCAGAAATAACTGCATAGCAAGAGCACATCCCAGCCCAGTCCAACTCAAATCCATCAGTCTGATACGAGACCATAAGTCCCCCTTCAGACGCACACAGCCACATGCAGTGATGCAGAATGCAGGAAGATCACAGGCTGCTGGGTCAAGAGTCTTGTGGACCCAATGGCAGTGGACGAATCTCCAGGGTTACACAGGTCTCCGAGTGACTGCCCAGCAAGGAGGTGAAGGCAGAGAGGGGATGGTTCCTAGGACCCTCCATATGAGGAGGTCACGCTAACAAGGAGGTACTATCTGTGGCCTGATTGACAGGTTAGATGCCACCTCTTCAAGCTAACACAAAATTGCGTAACTACCACACCCTCCATTATTTCTTTTGGCTGATTCATCCAATGAATATGTATGAAGTACCAACTATTGGCCATCCTGTGGCCGCAGGCTGAGAACGATGACTTTCTGTCCTCAAAAAAGCCACCAAGGAGAAGAGAGAGACACTTCAACACACACAAAATTTCTCAAGGCAATAGTGGATCTATCGCAAGAATAAAACTATGCCTGCAGGGGCCACGGTTCCCACAGTAAAATCTCACTCCGTTTTGACCTTTTTCCAATAAACAAGGTGTGAGACTATTTCATAAACGTCCAAAAATATTGGCTATACCACGTATAACTGAATTTCACAAAGGCACTAAGTTTGACTTGTATCTTCTGCTTTAAGAGGGAGTAACCCTCTCCCAAAGCCTCCCCTTCCACCAAAAAAAACCCCAAAAACTTCACTTGGTCAAACTTTTGTAATACCGAGTAACTCACTCTGAGTTAGAGCACACAGTGGCGTCACCTGGGAAGGTTCTCTGGTCACAGTGAATATTTTCATAAAAGCAGTTTCACTCAAACCTTGTTTTTTGTGATGGCTGATTTAAGAGAACAACATGCAGCCGTGAAATTTTGTTCCCTGCTCAGGAAAAGTGCCGCAGAAACTGCTGTGATGTTGAATGCAGCTTACAAGGACAGTGCTATGGGGAAAACTCAAGGGTACGAGTGGTTTTCTTATTTCAAAAAAGGTGCAATGCCGATTGATGACCAACCTCGTTCTGGACATCCATCAACTTCCTGAACACACAAAAATGTACACTTGTGCTTGAAGACCAGCGACGACAGACCATTGAAGAGATGGGGAGGTTGTCTGGACTGTCCTGGGGCTTGGTTCAGCGGATTTTAACAGAAGATTTGGGAATGAGAAGGGTCAATGAGAAATGTGTGCCTCGGGGTCTGGATGACCAGGGAAAAGGGAGTCTGATGCAAACATGTCATGCCTTGAAAGAACAGCCACCCAGACTTTATCCCAAGGTCATTGCTGGTGACAAGACTTGGTGCTATGCTTACGACCAAAAGCAAACACCCATCAAGCCCTTGGAAGATGCCACTGTCACCTCCCCCCCCCCAAAGCTAGTCAAGTGAAATCAAAGATCAAGATAATGCTCATTTGTTCTTTTGATGTGAGGGAGTGCATTTGGAGTTTATTCCACCAGGTCAGACTGTTAATCAAGCTTTCTATTTAGAGGTTCTGAAACGATTGTATAACAGTGTATGACAAAATTGGCCTGATTTGTGACACATGGGGGACTGGTTTTACCACAACAATGCAGCTGTTCACACAGCCATCTCAGTGCACCAGATTTTGGCAAAAAAAAACCCACAAAACATCATGCCTTCTTGCCCTGTGTACCCTACTCACCTGATCTGGCTCAGTGCAACCTCTTTGGTTTCCTCGAATGAAGGACACGAAAGGACAGCCAATTTGACGATGTAGGACAGCGGTTCTCAACCTGTGGGTCTCAACCCCTTTTGGGGTCGAATGACCCTTTCACGGGTTTCTCGATTCATCACAGTAGCAAAATTACAGCGATGAAGTAGCAACGAAAATAATTTTATGGTTGGGGAGGGGGTGGTCACCACAACATGAGGAACTGTACTATCGGGTCACAGTCTCAGGAAGGTTGAGAACCACTGATGTATAAGATGTGAAGAAAAAACAAGGGAGGTGCTGTCAGCCACCCAAACAGATGAGTTTGAAAAATGTTTCCAAGAGTGGAATCATGCCCTAGCTACCTATCAACATGGAGCTACACTAGAGCCCTGGAGCTGGAGAAGCCATGTGGAGAGGAGACCCCCGCCAGCACTGAGATGCTTACACCACCACTGGATCCATAAGACTTTCCACCCACTGGCCTGAGATCTTCCTGCATTCGGTGTCATTGCATGTGTTGCATGAGTCTGAATAGGAATTTATAGATGGATATCAGACATATGGGATAATATCAAACTTATGGACTTGATCTGGACTGGGCTGGGATGTTTTCTCAATATTCAATTGCTCTTGTATATAAAGCTCTTTCTTATACAAAAAAAAATGGAATCACAGATTTGACAAATGCATTGCATGTAATGGAGAGTACTTTGAAGCTGATAAGGTTGTTTTGTAATAAAATTTTTTTTTAATGCGTAGCTTTGGGGGAAAAAGAAATTCTGGGGGTTGGGGGGGTACCCCCTGTTATGCCCACCATGATAACTCTCTGCTGCTTCCTCGGGGTTGCACAATTTCCCCTTAAGACCAAAAGCCATGGCTCCACGGAACTGAAATCTGTTGAAACATAGAGCCGCTTCATGGGTTAATGGAACCAACAGGAATTAACGGACAGCGGTGGGCGTGAAGTTTTGAGATGCCCCGTTGACAGGAAAATACACAAAGCACTTCTTGGGTTTCCAAAATCCAGCTCTCACTCTGAAAAACCCTGTCCCATGCATTTCTTTAAAAGGGAAAAAAAGCATCTCCCTCCTTTTTCATAAACATTCCTGCAGACTAACGTGCCCCTGGGGGACCTGGGAGGGCAACACGGCTGCGTAGCCCCCAGGGCAGGGGCCAAAAGTGATTTGTGACTCCGCAGAAAGGGAGCCAGCCGACAGCCAGAGAGGTACCCACCACTGAGAGCTGGGAAGAAAGGCAGCTCTCTGGACCCAAGGATCCAGGAACAAGAGACCTAGCCCAGTGGGGACGGGAGGAGACTGGCAGGCCAGCAGCCAGTGGAAAGTGGCCTGGTAGGATACGTGGTGCAGCCAAGGCAGAGCTTGGGGCCAAGGCAGTACAAGTAAACCATGGGCATAACACACACACACACACACACACACACACACACACACACACACACACTCATATGCATACTCACACACGCACTCATATGCACACTCACATTTACACTCGTGGCTGGTGTAGCCTCCTGTGGGACATGCCTGCTCACAGTATTTCAGCAGAGGTCCCCCAGGCTAAGCACAATGCCTAGCACCCTCAGAGCAGGCCGGGAGTTGGCCCCCCCATGCAGGCGAACCCCGCTCTGCCAGCTGTGGCTCATCACCACCTTCAGGCTGCACGAAAGATAGCCTTCGCAGGGCGTTGCAAAGCGCTGAGTGAGGATTTCTTTGGAGAGTGTGTGGCAACGTGCCCGAAAAACTTAAGAGGAGAAGAGGGCGGGGTGGGAGATACTTCATCCCAGGCCCAAGGGAACCTTGGGAAGAGCGGGGCCCAGGCCCTGCAGTTTGAAGGGCTCGCAGATGGGACTCTGACTCTCTCGCCTGAAGTCAGGACCCAGAGGGAGTGCTTGGCTCTTTTCAGGTTTGGGCAGAGCAGGGTCTGGAAGTGGCTGGTGTCAGCCAGATGCAGACCATGCTCCCCCGAAGGAAGTGGCCCCTGGGAGTCTTCAGCAGTGACCCTGTCCAAGAGGGTCCCTGGAGGATGCGGTGACCATCACAGCAAGAACACCCGGGACGCCGGTGGTGGAAGAAGCGAAGGGTGAGCTCATGGGCAGGGAGCAGTAGGAGATCTGCAAAGCAGGGCATGCGCCAAGTCTGGGAGGGCCTGGAGAGTTGCCCAGGAAGGTGCCAGCAGCTCATTCAACGCCATGCAAGAGGAACTCGGTGGCCAGATTCCCACA